AACTCAGATTCCTTGCAAGAATCTGCCAGAACACTTTCCCAATCCTGCTTTGGACCATCTGCCTGGAAGGTTTCTCAGCTTCTTTTAGTTTAATTACTCTGAACTAACGCTTTTCACTGTTTACAGTAGTCCACACAAAGGCAGGCCTTTGAGTCTCCACGAGCTTGCTCAGCTTTAATCGCCTCCATCAAGGGATCTCTAGAAAGATCCTACCTCAGCTCTGGTATGCCAGGTCTCTGAGTCACAGGTAGCAGGTGGTCCCCACCATTAAAGCCATGAATGACCACTGAAACTGTATCCTGCACTGCATTTAATCTGTCAACTGTCTGTCCTCTCTTTATGCCAAGTTTCTCTCTTCTCTTTAAGTACACTAGTATTTCTGTAGAGAGACGAGTTTCCCTACTGGCAGACAAGCACTGTCTAAAATCAGTTATATATTAGCCTGAACTTTATACTGTGAGTTGTGAAATGAAAAGGCTTATAAACATGTGCACTGAGTAGCTATAATCTCATTAAAGAGAGACGATTACTCAGCCCCTGTCTGCAGGAACATACATTTGAAGGTGGACTCGGAGTAAAAGAAGAATATGAACTGATCCAGAGAATTATGTCTTTGATCTGAAAACCAGCTACTAGAGTAACAGATACAGCTTGATGGCTTTTCTCTTGATGGCTGAGACTTTGAAGTGTTACATGTACTGCTAGGAATTAATTTGTTTCATCGTTCAGAAATGCTCAGTAGAAACCGGAATAGCAGTGCCTACTTAGCAAGCACTCCTGTTTACTAGATGGAAGCTTCCTGATAGATGGAAAATTGTTCAATCTGTGTTAACTTTGCTACTGCTGCCAGGTTGTTGTAACACCAGGAACTCAAGTCTCAGCCCGGGTACTGCAAGAGATCTTATGTCACAGAAAAGTCAATCTCTCTTGAACGTAATCTCACACCAAACGCCTGCACCCTTGCTGTACTATAAGGAGAAACACCTGAGAGAGATTTTAGGTCAATAACATAAAATATTCTCACCCTTCTTCCCTCAAACATATTCCAGATATTATATATTGTATATAGGTCAGGATCTGTAACTCCTCCTTTCAGCTCCTCATCCATAGTGCACTTTGGTAACACAGAAAACAAAACTCTCAGTAGTAAACCAGAAGCTACAAGGAAGTCAGTTATCACTTGTGCTCATTTGCATAGCCATAGCTAGTGGCTCCTTTAGCAGTGGGAATGTCTGGGTCTCACAATCCATTAAGTTTTTCCTACCTCTTAATTATACAGGCTTTGTTCAGATAAACTGTGGGAGTCCAAGTGAAAACTAAGCCTGTACCTCTGTAAAAAGTTGACAATCTTTAAAAATGTGTTTCAGACTTTGAGAATGCCAGTATTTCCAAAACTAAATAATTAATACTACCACTTTGCTACCAGTAGCCACTTGCAGTCAGAGACTGCTGTGCTGGAAGCACTGTGATTAGCAGTGCAAAGTCCAACAGCGGCTGACCACCAGCAGCATCCTTTGAGGATCAATAGTAGTCTTTACTGAGACAGGCGTTCACCAATGACAGTGAAAAAACCCTCTTTGCTAATGACACCAAATAAAAGGAACCTCAACAAGCTTGGTGTCCTCTGCAAATGTGGGGTGGCCACGGTGGAAGGAGGGGCTGCAGTTAGAGAAAGGGATGGAGAAATGGGTTGACAAGGACCTACCTTATGAAGTCAACAACGTCAAGAACAAACCCATGGGGTGATATAGCCCTATGCAGCAAGAAAGGCTGGGGCTGAATGGAAAACAGCTTTCCAGAAATAGTGTTTAGGTTCTGGTGGGGAAAAAGCTGGTGGTGAGCCAGCAGCGTGCCCTTGCAGCTGAGGCAGCCAACTGCATCCAGGGCTGCAGCAGCAAGGCTGGAGCCAACAGGGCGAGGGGTGCAATTATCCCCCTCCAGCAGGCACCCATGTGGCAGTACTTGCTTTAGCTTTCTGTCCTTGGTTTCAAGGCCAGCAAAGCCCATTCAAGGTGGTCAGGGCCCTGGAGCACGTAACATGCAGAAGCTCCCATTGCGAATGAATCCTAGAGTATCTCAAGTGGGAACGGACCAATGAGTTCTCGTGATAAATAACAAATTAGTTAAGAATATTCTGAAAAATTAAAGCAAAGGGATACTCTGCAGGGACGTTTTAGGCTTGTGTCTTGTTAATAAAGTCTTGGTATTAGGAGAAGGATAGCTCATATATTTTGGAATACTGAGGTTCTACCAATGAACTGTTAAATCAGTTATGAATCCTCCCAGTGCTGCTCAGATGCTGCTTCAACTCTGGCAGGTTTTATGCCATGACCAGGGGAGCCTGTTCCAATGACTGACCACCCTCTCTGTGAAGAACCTTTTCCTAAAGTCCAGTATGAACTTCCCGTGGCACAGCTTCATTCCATTTCCTTGTGTTCTCTCACTGATCACCAGAGAGAGGAGATCAGCATCTCCTCATGCAGTGCCACCCTTAAGGAAGTTTTAGGCTGTGATGAGGTCTCCCGAGGCTTCTCTAAGCTGAATAAGCCAAGTGACCTCAGCTGCTTCTCCTAAGTCTTACCTTTGAGACCTTCCACCATCTTGGCTGCCTTCCTCCAGACACAGTCTAATAGTTTGATGCCCTTACACTGAAGCACCCAAAACTGCATCTAGAACTCAAGGTATGACTGCACGAGCATAGAGTGGTGCAGAGTGGGACAATGACAATTCTTTCCTATTGCTGGACAGTGGAGATTATCTGCCATTTTTGCTGCTAACCATTGAACCACTACTATATTTTGGCATTTAAAACAACATTCAAGTTCACTGTAAAACTTGTCCTCTCATTCCCCAAAACACAACTAAGTGGAAAAAATGAAACTCAAATGTGCCATGTAGGCTGGCAATGGCAATAACCACAAATTTAAGTCTAATTTTCTTATTCACAAATTTAAGTTAAGAGCTAGGGAGATGAAAGCAACAGATGCCAAAACACATCTTATTACAAAAAACTCACTGGACACTTAGCAGCACTATGTTCCAGCTGCACTACGTTCCAGCTACTGAAGAAGCCAGCTCCTGATATTCCAAGTAATACTATATTTATAATTCAAGTTTCCTTGCTTGAAACGGGTGGATTAATTTTGGCCATGCAGGTAAGAGAATTTATTCCACAGATATTGTTTTATCACATCAGCAACAGGCCTTGAAAACTTTATACAGGGAACATGGGAATGCCCACGCTTAGAAAGCATTTGGATCTGTAACAGAAAAGCCTACTGCATGGCAATGGTACAGTGAAAGCTCCTACCTGTACCATTAGTCAGCTGACACCATAAAATCCCATTTCTTAAAATCAGTACTGAATTTAGCTTATCAGATTCTCAAGCCCTTTTATCTAATTATTTTTTTTTCAAGCCACGGCTGCTTTTCATGCAATAATCAAAATCAACACTTGACTCAAATTTTATAACATACAATCAATACACACATACAGATGCTTCCAGGCCATTATCACATACTCGCACCACTCCCCCACTGTATTAAGTGGGGAAAGGAGATGAGAGAGCACTGGAGCGTTGTCATTCATTAATTTATGATTAACTGGGGCGTGTGAATGCCTCAGTCTACACAGATGGCCGAAGTGCCCCAGAACCATAAACACAGCAAAAGCTTCCTGCAGAGAAAGTCTGTTCCACCTGTCCGAGGACCATAATGTATTTTGTTAGGAGACCCGACTAAAAATCCTCACCAAGGAAGGTGATATTAATGGACGCTCGTTTCTCCACACTTTTTTACGGGGGGAAGGCCACACTGCCTGCTACAGCTACTAACTCTTCCGCTCCAGAGGGAAACCGATCAGATCTGACACGAAAGTGAATTTCTGGTGTGTTCCCCTTTCAACAAAGAGGGAGCCAAGCAACTAAGAAAAAGCCCAAACATCAAACGCACACCGACTCTTTCAAGCCGCTTAGTGAACGCGAGGCGCAGCCCGCTATCAAAATAAGGCATTTTGGCTAAACCCACAAGACTACCGCAGCACAGGGCGCGCGTGTGCTTCTGCACCGCGCACACACGCCACCGTTTCTCTTTCCTACTTTCAGCAGGAAGGGAAAGCGGCCGGGTCGGGAGCGGCGGGATGCGAAAAATCGCAGACTCACTGATACCTGGGGCTGCGCCGGCAGCGGCGTGAAGCCCGGGAGTGCCCGGGGCCGGGGCCGGGGCCGCGCCGGGAGCGCTCTCGGCCCCGCGGAGAGTCACGGCTGCGGGCTGGGGTCGCGGTCCCGCCGCTTTCGCCACCGAAGCAGGACCCGCCTCGTGCCGGAGGAGCTCCGGGAGACGGCCTCTCAGCACGAACCACCGCTGCTCCAAACACGATTCCAGCTGAAATCCATCCTCGGCTCGCCTGGACTCACCGGCCACCCCTCCCCGCCGCCTCGCCCCGCGGCTCCAGCGGATTCAAGCCATGTTTCGCGAGCGACGCCGGCTTGCCGCGGGAGACCCCCGTGCCGGGCCGCCGGGAGCGTCCAGCACTGTCTCCCAGCTCCTGCAGCGGCTGCGGGACAGGCAGGGCTTCGTTCCAGGCCGAGGGCCATCCTCCCCCTGCGCCGCACCGCTCGGGGCAGGCCGGGGCTGCGGGTGAGCGGTGGCACGGACAGGGGCTCTCCGTGCCTCCGCAGGTGGTGGGCAGCGCCCCACGCCCCCCGGGCCGCTCACCTGCTGCTGGATCTTCCCATCCTCGGTGACCACCCAGTGGGTGGTAGCAGCGGCGGGCCGAGTCCCCGAGGCCAGCAGCGAGCACAGGCCCAGGGCCCAGCCAGAGAAGACCCACGCCCGCCCCAACCCACCCCGCCCGGACGCCCCAGCCGCCGCCATCTTCCCCAATCCCGGCCTGCTCGCACCCCCCGGAACCGGAACGGCCGCCGCCGCCATTTTGGGAGCGGGCGGTGCCTCGCGCTGCGGGGCGGTGCGGCCGGGCCGGGAGGACACGACAGGGCCGGGTCCGGGGTTGCCTCAGGGTTTCTTTCAGGCCGCGCCAGGAGCCCCGGACCGAGCGCTGTCCTGACCCCACGGCAGCACCGGCGCAGCCCCTGGGCGGAGGCACAGGAGCGGAGGCGCGGCGGGGGCTCAGCGAAGCGACTTCTCCCTCGCGGGGAGCCGGGTCTGGCCAGTGGGGTCTTCCCGGAGCTGTGGCAGCCACGGGTAACCGCCGCCCGGAGTTCCAGGCCAGAGTTAAGTGCCAGCAAGCGGCGTGTGGCGCCGCGCTGAACGCTGTAATTTAAAGGACGTAATTTCTGTCTAGTACACACTCGGACATTCGCCACGGCAGCTTGAGGAAACGACTGTATGCCCATCGCAAACCGAACCGTACCTGCAGCTATCCACAGGTTTTTATCCACAGCCCCCCGAGGAGCTGGGTGAAGGGAGCTCTGAAAGACACATCGCTCCTTTTCCCTTCTAATGCTTTTCAGTTACACAGAAACATCTGAACTTTTCCTTTCCCATTGCAGTTAAGAGTAAATACCAACCCAGGAGTGAGAGCCTGCTTCCCAGTCCTGAGTGAGATCTAAAAGCTGCCACATTCAAATTTTGTTCTGTTCGACCGAAAGGTCTGTGTTACCAGTCCTGCTTCTTGGGGACACCAAACTTCCTGGAGCCTGTTAAACAGTAAAATTCACTCAAGTAACTCAAAACCCATTAAGTGGAAACAAGTTTCTAGATGGTGTCAGTGGTTAAACCAATGCAAGGGATTCAGTTTCTATCAGCCTAGAGAAAATATCCACACAAGTATGATAGTGCCTTACCACTGCCAGAGTTTACACATCAGGCATATTACAGATTCCACAAAAAACCCCAGGCTGCCACTCCAAGTCAGTCTTGCTCTATCATAAGATACCAACGAATTGTATCACACTGTCAACATCTAGGAGGTTGCATAAGACAATGACTGACTCCTTTTCACCCGGTTCCAAACAAGATGCAGCGTTTGCTGAATATTTAAATTCCTAGGCAAAACTTTGCATTTAAAGGTGAATGACTTAAAAGTTGAAACAGCTAACACAGTCTTGCTCCAATATATTCCTTAATGGCAAAAAGCTTTAGACATCTATAGCAATCTGAGGAGTAAGGGAACTACAACCAAAAGGTAGCACAGAACCCTTTTACTAAGCCAACACAAAATGTTGCAGAGTAACTGTGAAACAATGAGCCGAACAAAATTACAAAATGAATTTATTCCAAAGCTGTAAGGGAACATTTACAATTCAACAAGATGGTAAAAAGGTGTTTCCACAAGAACTCACTGCATTAAAATTAGATGTGAAACTGGGGAAAAATAATCTAACTACTGAGGCCACAAGAACTTTGCACATCACTTCTGAAATACAGGACTCATGTAAAGAAAACTCACTCAAAATTCAGTGAGAAAATAAGCTGCTAGCACCTAGCTACTAGTCTAAATACAAGCTATGTTTAGGCTTTGAGATTACATTTTTAAATCCCCTCAAAACACCAATTATAGCTACAAGTGCAAAATGTCTTTTTTTCCCTCCTTTTTTCCTCCAATGGAAGCTTATTACACATCTAGTGTCTATTTTCAGAGTGACATTTTGGTCTCACAAATTTGTCCTTGAAAGCTTTTTGCCAAGTTTTATGGGTTTTGTGATAAATCAAAGTTGAGCAGCTGGCAGGTAATCAGAAATACAGTCAGCTCACATGTCCTGGAATGTCCAAAGTTTGCTGCCTAGTGTTCCAGAGTTAAGCAAAAATAGACTTCTAATTTAGCATCAACAATGTCTCTCACTTTGACATAGTTTTGGTATTTTGGCCATCTGATTATAGTGATAAATATCAGTGTTAATGAAAACACCTGAGTCAGATTCACAAACAAATACAAATAGAACCAGAGTGGGGAGACATCACCTTCTGTAGATATCAAGTGGCTGAACAAAAAAAAAAAAGGGCAGGATAAGAAGTATTATTTATTCTTCTAAAGTCTAAGGTATTTTACACCAACATGCCCTGGAACACTTAATTAAAATTCTTTTCCTCTGTCCCAACTTCTTTTTACTATATGCTAATTTCTTTACAATGTTGAATGACCTGAGAATTAAAAACTTTGATTGGTGAGAATTAAAAAAAAAAAGCTTTGTGCTTTTACTTTGTATTTTCTGGGTGTACACCAGTAAATAAGAATCCCAAGTTCCTATGGAAAAAAATAGCATGGAATTTTTAACTCTTCCACCTGAATTGAACTATATAGCTGGAATTTTTCAGTGTTACCCAAAATACAATTTTATTTATATATTTTTAAATGCAACTATTGGTTAAAAAAACCAACCAAACAAAAAACCCCCAAACAAAAAATTAACACACACACAAAAAAAAATAAAATCACCAAACAAGAAAAAACCCAATCAACCAACCCCCACCCTCCAGTGCCAACTAATCCAGAAATCTGCAAAACACAGAAAAGAGCCAGATACTGCTATGGTCCAGCTCCAGCCTATGAAGCTTAATCACTGCATCAGTCTTTACCCATTCCTGGAATAATTCTAGTCGTTTATTGTTTTGTTTTTTTTGCTGTTCATTTACTGAGCTTTCACAGCATAACTATAAGCACATATTCATATTAAACATTAAAAATTAATTTGCAAAACATCACTTCTGTATTACAATGCACGGAGAAGAGTAAGATGTGCAAACCAAAAAACGCCACTTTCTCCACATTTTTAAGTAAGAGGACTGCATCATGCTACAAGCAAAACAGATTTCCAGCCACATTGCAAACTTTAAAAAACCAGCATGTATCTCATTCAATTTAATTAAAAATGCAAATCAAAGCAAATTTAACAATGGTACTCTTCTCCACATATTGCAAAATACGGTTACAAATGAGGAAAGGATTACTTCAGCTGCTAAGCTAATCTGACACGTATCTCTGTTGTCATGCCTTTCCTGTCCGTTACTTAATACATAAACTCAATTATATAGTTTCAGTTATGCAGTAGCTGACTTTTAGGTTAATATACAAACTGTCAAGATGCAGCTTTTGATGAAACATCTATGCTCTTTTCCAATTTTGAATCCTGAAGACACTTCAAAATTAAGAACCCAAAACTGCTGACTGTAAGCATCCAAAAATACAGCTGTAGTTTCACTATGGACAAGTTGTAGTCCGTTAGAAAAGTAGATCATACATACAAAGGTATAAAGAACATTTAATTCAGTCTTAGTGGAAGGCAGTCCTTGAAGAAAACAATGCTCCAAGCAAACACTTGCTGAGTAGCACTCTCACTTCAGCCCTTCAGGGGCACGGAAGATTTAGCAGTCTTCTCAGTAGATTCTTCCTCGGCTACGATTGCCACGTCCTCCCCAGCCTCTTCCTCGTCCACCCCGGAAACCACCTCTTTGCTCTGAAATAAGAGTTGAAACTTTTCATGCAGGTTTTATGCTGAATACAGATTAAAACTGAATAGCAATATCTGGAGGTATTGAAGGCTAACTTCAGTCTCTGAGGCTCATCCTGCTTATATGCCATGAGATTGCTGAGTTATGCTTTGATGGGAAATGGACCCCAGTACTTGTAAAAGGAGGTCAGGAGAACTAGCCTCTCTAAATTAAGTGCAGTCTTTCTGCATACTAATATTGCGATACATAACCGTGTCTGTATTTTAGAACCACATCTGGGACAATCCATTACCACAGAATTGAAAACTGGCTGCCTAACTCATCTTTCTATCCAATAACACAATACTGATACTGAGGTGTTAGTCTGACTGGCTACTAGTCTGTTTTATAAAATGATGGAAAACCACAACTTTGTCATTCTATCTGTCCTTTTCTATCCTTAAGTTATTGCTAGCATATTAATTTTTTTTTCTTGGGCTGATAACTATATTCAATTAGAAATCTTTGATATAGATGGATACCACACAAACTATTTGTAAACCCTAGAAAATTTTTCCCTTCCCTTTGTTAAGAACAAATCTGATCACAGCAAAAAAAACCAAAAACCCCCCACCAAAACCAAAACAACCAAAACAAAAAACCAAACCTGAAAATACTTTATAAATATAGTTTCTTTGGATTTGTTTGAAAATGTTTCAAACCCTCATTCCCCTTTCATGCTTTCTCTTCATGTACAGTCTTAAAATACAGGTCATATTAAACTACAAAAGAGAGCTGCATGCTTGTTTTAAAGAGCACAGAAAACAGAAGCTGACCAGAGGCCTAAGTATCTCACTAACAAGAGTAGCAAGAATTAACACATTTCTGTTTGAAAACTTCCTAATGTTTAAAACTGCAAGACAACAAGCATATTTAAAAGACACAGGTGTATCACCTGAAGTCTAGAGTAAGAAATTTGCAGATGATGTTATATTTTCTCTTATATATCTGACAGTGCTTTGTATCAGTTTTTCAACCTATGAGCGTGGGTGATAATTTGTCATACCAGCCTCTTTACTTGCCAGATGTAGGATCAATGGACCTACAGGGAAGACAGGAATAGGCTGCTGCCATTGCTGGGCCTATTGATCCAGTCTGCAACTGCTCTTGTGCTTCACCCAAAAATACAACTCGCAGGGAGACAGAATCAGTGTGACTGGGAGCATGAGGACATAACTGTAGAAGCACAGTGAACCTGGCAATTCCCAGAACTTCTGGATCAGGTCTGCAACATCAGCTGTAATAGGAACGCAGCACAGGTCCAGTCGTATGACAGGAGGTGACCCAGCTCTGCCATTTGCAGCAACTGGCCTGTCCAATGGGAAACTGGTGCAAGTGCTGTGTGTCATAATAGAGAACACAACAGTTCAATTACTAACTCCAGGTATTAAAACACTACTAAAAGTAACTTGCAAATGACATTGTTTATAGGCTGGTAACACTGCAATAGATCAACAGCTAGGAAAAGACCATTATACACAAAAATTTGTGACAGTACAATTTGATCTTCCAAGAATGTGGTTATTTGGTCCCCCCACCCCGAGATACAACTGTCACTAAACAAAGTTTTTCCAAACTGCCTAACTTACCGTAAGAAAAACTACCCAGATTACTGCTGTATTTTCCACTAGGAGGATTATATATTTGCCTGGCATCCCTTTTTGGTCCTGCTGAAGCTTTCTTTGGGGGTGAACTTGAGGTTGTATCTTCACTTGCTCTTTTTTGACTGACAGAAGAAAACAAAAACATGTCATTACACCCTTGTGGTGACAAGTACAGGAATAGTAGTTCAGCCGCAAGGATTAACCACTGGAAGCCAGCAGCAGCTAATGAAGATCCCCTGAATAATAATACCTCAGAAGAGGAAGTAGGCTAGTCTCCAGTTGATTCAGTCTGTTGTATCTCTAAGCAAGACTAAGATAATGTTTCCACAGCCACAAGATGTGAAACTTTTATCTCATGTGCTGTGTATATATAATATACACAGCTTGGAAGTTAATTTTTACTGTTTACAAAACAAACACCACTTTTTTTTTTAAATGAAGAACTCTTACCTTGCATCTGCCTTCTGTACTGGTTTCCAGGACAGTGTAATTGTACTTTTGTAAGAAGGAGGAATGTGGAAGAGATCCTATGGAGGCAAAATTGGACAGTTTACAGTTAAATTCATGTTGATTGCACTTCAAAACTTTAAGTAGTTAACTGAGACTACAGAATAACCATTAATTTCCAACAATTTTAAATCCTTTTTGAAGTCCCATGGCAGAGGGAGAAGGCATGTCCTTACTGCCTTACTAGGAAATTCAAATACGATTCGAATTAACAAAATAGTGTCTTGTACTGACCAAATATAGAATCATACAATAGTTTGGGTTGGAAGGGGCCTTTAAATACCATCTAGTTCAACCATCCTGCAATAAGCAGGGACATCCTCAACTAGATCAGCTTGCTCAGGCCCCCATCCAATCCAACCTTACGTTTCAAGGAATGGGGCATCTATAGAGAAAGCACAAGCCTTCTCTCCCTCCCAATGTGTAGTGATAGACCAATTTAAGGCCATGATGTCCTGCTCGGTT